CTTTAAAGACAGTCGATTTCGTATAGAGCCAGTTACTCGCTGCTACAACTGCAAGTGCACACAAGGTATGGAATTATGTAAGAAAAATCCTTAACATTCTTATAAATAGGCATTTCACTATAAAATGTCATTCATGAATGGGTTTAACCCTTTGGGGGTTTCGGACGTACTAGTACGTCTTACAATCCAGGGTTTTTGATGTACTAGTACGCCTAAATTCTAGCGCCCTGAAATCTAGTGAGAGAAAGCTGGTAGGCGTACATATGAAAGAATGGGTCTGTGTGGTCAGTGTGCGCAGTATAAAAAAAATCCTGCAGCACACAGTGCGTAATGAGAAAAAAAGAACTTTGACTGTGTTTTTGGAATAAAACAGCGACTTTGCACTGTATTTTCGTGTGGTATTTATTGTTGTATTCTAGTTTTCTTGGTCTCATTTTATAGAATGGATTCATGTTACAGAAATTGAGATGATTTTGACTGGTTTTACAATGAAAAGTACCTTGAAATTGAGCTCAAAGTAGCAGAAATGTTCGATTTTTACCAAAGTTCAAAAGTAAACAAATCATGCCAAGCATCCAATACACATCAACTGGTGATTCTAATATTCTTTCACAAGTGCGCTGATATTATTTATACCATTTCTACACTAATGCAGTAGTCTGCCTAACAGTAAATCTTATTTTTTTTTGTAAGTATAAAAATTCAAAGTGGAAAGCCAAAGAAATATAAGAGAGGCCTGGGGATGTGACTAACGAACAGAGAACTTGTTATTTTAGTGCCTGGAATGTCTTGTTTATTCTGGACCCTATTCGGAAATTGGCATCTTTGGAAATTTGTGTGAAATATTGCTAAATTCTGAACACTTTTGGATAGTTGAAATCGGTAAATGGGTGGTTTCTTGTACTCGTTCAATAGAAAAAATGGAGTTCTAGCGGAATAATTATGATTTTTGTTGACTAGTACACTGAAATTGGCTGAAAATAGGCTCAAAGTGGGCAAAATCGCCAACGCATAAACATCGTCGAGACTGCCAACTTTGCGAGAGCATTATTCCGTAAGTTTTCCATCAAATTTCATACTCTTGGTGTCATTATGATTCTCTATCTTTTCACAAGAAAAAATAATTTTTTTTTTTTTGAAATTTGGCCGACCCTGAGAACAAGTCTCTGAAAGGACCTGTCGACCCCCGAAAAGTTAAGTATGTACCTTTTTTCCTATCATACAACAAAATTTTGAAAAGTACATTTAAAACCATTTCAATTTCATTGAGAAGCACTAAATCCATAAAGGTGCAACATCAGGGAATTGGAGGGAATGTGTTTGAGCAAAAAAAAAAAAGGGGGGGCGGAGGGTAACTTCAGTTTCAATTTATGAAAAGAAAATTAATTTGCCATCATTTGTAACTGGTGATGTTCTTAATACATTGTAAGGGTTTTGGCAACTCAAGGACTACGTAAACTCTGTAGCGTAGAGGTTGGTTTAACCCTTCCACTGTCTCTTATGCAGATCTACCTTTTTGACATAAGTCTTGCTCATGTAGACCTGTGTTTTAAGCAGAGCACCCTCAAATATTCTGTGAGCAGTAAATTTTGGCATGCACGTAAGAGAATGGGTCTGTGTGGTGAATGTGCACAGTATAATAAAAAAATCCTGCCCCATGTGGTGCATGATGGAAAAAAAAAGCAAACCTCTGATTTTGTGTTTGACTTAAAATAGTGACTTGGAGGTGTTTTCTAGGATGGTTTTAATGGTTGTATTGACTGTTTCTTGGTATCAGTTGATAGGCTAGAAGACATACTACTGAAGTGGAGATGATTTTGGTCAGTTGTGGGACTGGAAGTAGCCTGAAATTAGGCTCAATTTAGCAGAAATATTCAATTTTTCATGATGAAGGGTAAGGCTGCTCCCCAGTCTGTTTTATAGTTTTTCAATAGGTCACTTTCAATTTACTGGGAAGCCTTAAATCATGAATAGTCTTTTTTTTTTTTTTTTTTTTTTTTTTTTTTTTTAAACAAGTCGGCCGTCTCCCACCGAGGCAGGGTGACCCAAAAAGAAAGAAAATCCCCAAAAAGAAAATACTTTCATCATCATTCAACAGTTTCACCTCACTCACACGTAATCACTTTTTTGCGGAGGTGCCCAGAATACAACAGTTTAGAAGTACATATATACGTATAAAAATACACAACATATCCCTCCAAACTGCCAATATCCCAAACCCCCCTCCTTTAGAGTGCAGGCATTGTACTTCCCATTTCCAGGACTCAGGTCCAGCTATATAAAAATAACTGGTTTCCCTGAATCCCTTCACTAAATATTACCCTGCTCACACTCCAACAGCTCGTCAGGTCCTAAATACCATTCGTCTCCCTTCACTCCTATAACACGCTCACGCACGCTTGCTGGAAGTCCAAACCCCTCTCCCACAACACCTCCCAGGGTAAAACTTTTTTATTTTTGTGATGATGGATTTAGAATGCATGACAAGTGTAATGTAATATAGCAGAGGCCTAGGGACATGATTACTGAACAGAGAGTAGGTTGCTTTAATGGTTGGAATTCATGCATTCTTTATTTTGGACTCTTGAGATTGGAATTTGCCGAATTTTGTGTAAAATTGGTAGTTCTGATAGTTGAATGGTTAGTTTATGCTCGGTCAGTAGAACAGAAAACATACTGACAAAATAGCTATGAATTTGATCAAGTTGAACTAGAATTGGCTTAAAATAGATAAAATTGCTGCTGTATAAATTGTGCTCAACCACCTTTGTGTCTGTGTTATTTTGTAAGTTTTCTATCAGATTTAACATTTTTGGTGTCATTACCTTGAAAAAAAGATTATCTACCATTTCAGATTTTTTTTTTTTAAATCGTGACACTGTTAGCACTTAATTTCAGGTTTTATGATAGTGAAAGTGTTAAGGATAACATGACCAAGCAGCCAGTGTGTGTGCCTTGGTGAGCACTGAAGGAAACCTGTTACTCAAGTTACTTAATTTTTTGTCCATGAGTAGACACAAATTATATTGTTATTTATTTTAAATTTTAACAAATGTATGTGATATTGTGCCCACTGGCATAGTAGAGGTATATTTCAAAGATGTAGTTTCTGTAAAATTATATGGACCTAAGGCTGAAACATAACTTTGTAATATTTGTTTTTAGTTTTAACCCCTTGACTGTCGCAACCCCAAATCCTCAGGTGTCTCCTGGTGTCGAAAAAATTATGAAAAAAAAAAAAAATAAATTTTTATCTTATGAAATGATAGAGAATCTTTTCCCAATTGTAATGACACCAAAAGAACAAAATTTAATGGAAAACTTATGGAATCATGCTCTTGCGAAGTTAACCACCTCAGCAACATTTACGAATCGGCGATTTCACCCACTTTAAGCCCTATTTTCAGCTAATTCCATTGTTCCAGTCAACCAAACTCATAGCTATTTCTTTAGAGCTCCATTTGTTCTATCGATTGAATACAAGAAACTACCCATTTACCGATTTCAATTACCCAATAACGTGGTCAGAAATTTGTAATTTGGCCAGTTTCATACAAATTTAAAAATATGCCAATTTCAAAATAGGGTCCAGAATGAACAATGCAGACATTCCTGGCTCTAAAATAATTTTCTTTGTTCATCAGTCACGTCTCCAGGCCACTCTGATATTACTCTTGCTTTCTATTTTGAATATTTATTCAAACAAAAAATAGAAGATTTACTGTTATGCACACTACTGCAATATTGTAATTTTTTTTTTTTTTAACAAGTCGGCCATCTCCCACCGAGGCAGGGTGACCCAAAAAGAAAGAAAATCCCCAAAAAGAAAATACTTTCAACTTCATTCAACATTTTCACCTCACTCACACATAATAACTGTTTTTGCAGAGGTGCTCAGAATACAACAGCTTAGAAGTATATACATATAAAAATACACAATATACCCCTCCAAACCGCCAATATCCCAAACCCCTCCTTTAGAGTGCAGGCATTGTACTTCCCATTTCCAGGACTCAAGTCTGGCTATATAAAATATTGTAATAATTGTATAAATAATGTCAACCCATTCATGACTGCATATTAGAATGGCTAGTTGGACAATTATTCGACAATGACATCATTTGTTTACTTTTGAACATTGGCAAAAATCAAACATTTCCCCTAATTTGAGCTCCATTTCAAGGTTCTTTTCTTAGTAAAACCAATCAAAATTACATCTATTTCTATAATATGTTTTCCATTCATACAGTATTTATGTTTTCCAAACATAAATACTGTATGAAAATACACTGCAAAGTCGGCATTTTAATCCTAACACACGGTCGGAGTTTATTTTTTTTCTCATGCACTGCGTGCTGCAGGATTTTTTTATATGGTGCACACTGACCACACAGACCCATTCTTTCGCATGTAGGCCTACCAGCTTTCTCCTGTTTGATTTGAAGCCACTAGAATTTTTGAGTATGCATATGTCAAACACGGTGGCTCGTATGACTTATATATATGACCGAAACAGTCGAAGAGTTAACCCCTGAAATGTAGCATACCTGCAAATTAGAATTTCTGGGTGTGGGAAGATTTTTTTTTCCTTGTAGAATGAAATTGTACATTTTTCTGAATTGAGTAAGACTAAATTGAGTGGAATCTGAGAAAAATTGCACGGTTTTATGGTGTTGAAGTTGGCCAAAAAAAAAAAAAAAATAGAAAAAAAAATGATCACTTCTTGGTAACAGCAGCATAAATTTGGCAGTGATAGTTATATTTTTCAATTTATTGATGCCAAGACAGGATTTTCTATTTTTTTTTTTTTAATTACTTTTAATGTTTACCACTATGTATTCTAGTTTGATATTTGCTGTGTTTAAAGGTGTTTTAGCACTTCAAACATTGGGAAATGCTTAGCCTAACATTGCTCTACTTAAAATATACAGTATAATTCTTTTTATTTCGGTCTTTTAACACTATAAATTCTCCTCAGAACATGGAATTAAGTCACATTCTTTGACTGTTATGTTTTATATAGGGATATTATGTTTTCTATTTTTTTTTTCTAGTTTGGTTTTTTAACATTATGTACAATGAATATTAATAATATTACAATTGTTTCAGAAATAAGTCACATTGACTTTACTGGGTTATCCTATGTTACATGTACTTAGTGTGCTTTGTGGCTGAATTCCACTGTAAGTATGAAATTGTAATAAGTTTGGAATGTATAAGTGATCTTCCTGCCACTTTCACACCCTATTTGCTGGTAGGAAAGCTGGTGGTCGAGCAACAGCTCTTGATTTCGTTGTTTACTTATGCTAGTTAGGTGTACTTGTACGTTGGACAGTCATTACCTGAGTAGTTAACCATGATGCATTGTGTGGACCCTCCTGGCCTTAGGTTTTTTTCAAACGTATGAATAGATTGTAGAAGACTGAAATAGTTATGGTGAGGTCAAGAATTTTGGCAGATTGGAAGGTACGAAAAATTGTGCTACTAGTACATTGGATGTGCAATTGTTGGTTGTGTTTTAGTACATTGGATGCAGTTGAAAGGTTAAACGACCTCTAAGAATTTGTAAGGATGACTGTATTCTCAAGGTTAGAACCCATAACACTTGAGAGTTGTCAGGGTCCTTGGTACTTTACCTATCTGGTTTTCTCTACTTTTATTTCCTTCCTTCCAGCCTGCTTCTTCCTTCTTTACTTTGTTTTATTAATATGTTTGTTTTTATTTGCAACAGCTGATCCAGTTGTGGCAGAGCACATAATTCAAATTGAAGGTGAAGATTGCTCATACAATTGTCTGCATGAGAGATATGTGGTAAAGGTACCCTTGCATCCCCCACCACCAGGAGAAACCGTTACAACCCTGTTAGTGAAGATCATGTGTCTAACATCTTGTGTTGGCGGGCCAAACAGAAGGCCTTTCAGCATTGTTTTTACACTTAGAAACAAGTGAGTACTCTCAAACCCAATGGTACAGCCAGAATTTCAGTCTGAGGGGTGCTACAGCCAGGATTTAAATGTAGGAGGTGCTAAAGCCAGGATTTACACCTTGGGGGATGCTTAAAAATTATATGATGAAAAATCAAAGAATCAATTTTAGAAACCTGATTTTCAGTGTGTAAAATTGTTCAAGTTTTAATTGTTTTACATGATGGTAGGATTGCTGGTGTCTTTTCTGTCTCACAATCGTGTAAGATTACAGGTACGTCTTGCTAGTTCTATTTCGCTTAGGTCACACTACACCTGCATGTTTTTTTTTTTTCCATCGAGACAGGGTGACCCAAAAAGAAAGAAAAAAAATCCCAAAAAAAGAGAATACTTTCATCATCATTCAACACTTTCACCTCACTTATACATAATCACTGTTTTTGCAGAGGTGCCCAGAACACAACAGTTTAGACGCATATACGTACAAAGATGCACAACATATCCCTCCAAACTGCCATTATCCCAAACCCTTCCTTTAAAGTGTAGGCATTGTCTTTCCCATTTCCAGTACTCAAGTCCGGCTATATAAAAATAACCGGTTTCCCTGAATCCCTTCACTAAATATTACCCTGCTCACACTCCAACAGCTCGTCAGGTCCCAAATACCATTCGTCTTCATTCACTCTTATCTAACATGCTCATGCATGCTTCCTGGAAGTCCAAGCCCCTCGTCTACAAAACCTTCTTTACCCCCTCCCTCCAACCTTTTCGAGGACGACCCTTACCCCGCCTTCCTTCCCCTACAGATTTATACGCTCTCCATGTCATTCTACTTTGATCCATTCTCTCTAAGTGACCAAACTACATCAACAACCCCTCTTCAGCCCTCTGACTAATACTTTTATTAACTCCACACCTTCTAATTTCCACACTCCGAATTCTCTGCATAATATTTACACCACACATTGCCCTTAGACAGGACATCGCCACCGCCTCCTCGCTGCAGCATTTACAACCCAAGCTTCACACCCATATAAGAGTGTTGGTACCACTATACTTTCATACATTCCCTTCTTTGCCTCCATAGATAACTTTCTTTGTCTCCACATATACCTCAATGCACCACTCACCTTTTTTCCTTCATCAGTTCTATGATTAACCTCATCCTTCATAAATCCATCCGCTGACATGTCAACTCCCAAATATCTGAAAACATTCACTTCTTCCATACTCCTTCCCAATTTGATATCCAGTTTTTCATTATCTAAATCATTTGATACCCTCATGATCTTACTCTTTTCTATGTTCACTTTCAACTTTCTACCTTTACACACACTCCCAAACTCATCCACTAGCCTTTGCAACTTTCCTTTAGAATCTCCCATAAGCACAGTATCATCAGCGAAAAGCAACCGTGTGAATTCCCATTTTGTATTTGATTCTCCATAATTTAATCCCACCCCTCTCCCAAACACCCTAGCATTTACTTCTTTTACAACCCAATCTATAAATATATTAAACAACCATGGTGACATTACACATCCCTGTCTAAGACCCACCTTTACTGGGAAGTAGTCTCTCCCTCTTCTACACACCCTAACCTGAGGCTCTCTATCCTCATAAAAACTTTACAGCATTTAGTAACTTACTACCTACTCCATATACTTGCAACATCTGCCACATGTCCCACCATTCTTCATATGCCTTTCTATCAATTCTTAAATTCTAAACTCCACTAATCTGAAACTTCTCACTTATGCTTCAATAACACTTTTTTTTTTACTCCCTTCCCACCAAAATCGCCTGCTCTCCACGAGGCATTCCATAACAAAAAATACCTAGAAATAATAACCTCATAAGTCTTACTTTCACCAACACATTATATTTTTTAAGTCTCTTTTCCACTTTCTATAATAAAGAAATACATACTCCTCCAACTCCCAGTATGTTCACTCATTTCATTATAAACCAAACCACTCTAAACTCCCTCATCCACACTCCTTCACTGTTCTAATCTTTAATGACTACCATAAGTTTCCGTAACTTATTCATATTTTTACCTCTCTTTCTTCACTTAATGTACACGCAACTCTACACTACTCTGCCATCTCTGTATGTTCCCTAAAGATGCATACTTCTTGACATGACAATAAATTACCCCCACTTCTCTCCACACTTTTAAATTGTCAAACTCATTTACGCGCTCTACCCAATTACCTCCATCTATCTACTTCCCCATTGAGAAATCCCTATTTCTTCACTTAAAAGATGGCATACCTCAGGCCAGTGCATAATTACGCCTAACACTTTTTCGTCGACATTTAAAAGTTCCTCAAAATATTCCCGCCATCTACCCAATACCTCCATCTTCCCATCTACTAACTCCCCTATTGTTAAGAAATCCCTAGGATTTCTTAACTTGTTTATCTCATTTCAAAACTTTTTCTTATTTTCATGAAAATTTCTTGACAGTACCTCTCCCACTCTATCATCTTCTCTCCTTTTACACTCTTTCACCTCACCACTCTTCACCTTTCTTTTACTCTCTATATACTCTGCTTTTCTTATAACACTTCTGCTTTGTAAAAACCTCTCATAAGCTACCTTTTTCTCTTTTATCACACCCTTTACTTCATTCCTCCAAAAACTCGTCTTTCCTCCTGCACCCACCCTCCTATAGCCACAAACTTCTGCCCCACATTCTAATACTGCATTTTTAAAACTCTTCCAACCCTCTTAACCCCCCCCCCCCCCACTACTCATACTTGCACTAGCCCCACCTTTCTGCCAATAGTTGCTTATATCTCTCTCGAACTTCTTCCTCCCTTAGTTTATACACTTTCACCTCTCTCTCACTTTTTGCCATTTTCCTTTTGTCCCATCTACCTCTTACTCTAACTGTAGCTACAACTAAATAATGATCTGATATATCAGTTGCCCCTCTATAAACATGTACATCCTGAAGCCTACCCATCAGCCTTTTATCCACCAATATATAATCTAAGAAACTACTTTCATTATGTGCTATATCATAACTTGTTTATTTATTTATCATTTTCATAAAATATGTATTATTTATTACCAAACTTCTTTCTACACATAGCTCAATTAAAGGCTCCCCATTTTCATTTACCCTTGGCACTTCAGATTTACCTACTATTCCCTCCACAACATTTTTACCCACTTTAGCATTGAAATCTCCAACCACAAGTACTCTCACACTTGGCTCAAAACTCCCCACACATTTGCTTAACAATTCCCAAAACTTCTCTCCTCTACACTTCTCTCTTCTCCAGGTTTATATATGCTTACTATAACCCACTTTTCACATCCAACTTTTATTTTATTCTACATAATCCTTGAATTAATGCATTTATACTCCCTCTTTTCCTGCCATAGCTTATCCTTCAACATTATTGCTACTACTCCTTTAGCTCTAACTGTATTTGAAACCCCTGACCTAATCCCATTTACTTCTCTCCACTGAAACTCTACCACCCCCTTCAGCTTTGTTTCACTTAAAGCCAGGACATCCAGCTTCTTCTCATTCATTACATCCACAATCATCTCTTTCTTATCATTCGCACAACATCCACACACATTCAGACATCCCACTTCGACATTTTTCTTCTTGTTTTTAGTAATCTTTACAGGAAAAGGGGTTACTAGCCCATTGTTCTCGGCATTTTAGTTGACTTTTAGAACACGCATGGCTTACAGAGGAAAGATTCTTATTCCACTTCCCCATGGATATGAAAGGAAAAGTAATGAGAAGAAGAACTATTAAGATAAAATCAAAGAAAACTCAGATGAGTGTGTATAAATAAACATGTACATGTATGTGTAGTGTGACCTAAGTGTAAGTAGAAGTAGCAAGATGTACCTGTATTCTTGCATATTTAGGAGACAGACAAAAGACACCAACAATCCTACCATCATGGATAGCAATTACAGGCTCTCGTTTTACTCACTTAGCAGGATGGTAGGACCTCCATGGGTGGTTGCTATCTACCAACCTACTATTGTATAAGCATATATGTACAGTTGGGTCCCACTTATACGGCAGGTTAGGTTCCAGGCTACTGCCGAAATGCATATAAATGCCAGGTAAGTTTACACTAACATATACAATGGTGAGGGGCTCTTGATCTAGGGAATTTGATCTCTGCTCCAGGTCCATAAATTAATAATTATTATTATTATTATTATACTTATGTACTAATAATGATAATACATAATTATGTATAATATAATAATATCCTAGTATATAATAATAATATAATAATATATAATATAATTATATATAATATAATTATAAAGTTATTCTTCTCATTTTTAGTAAATGTGTACAGGAGAAGGGGTTACTAGCCCATTGCTCCCGGCATTTTAGTCGCCTCGTACGACACGCATGGCTTACGGAGGAAAGATTCTTTTCCACTTCCCCATGGACAATAGAGAGAGAAAAAAAAACAAGAACAAGAGCTATTAAGAAAAAGAAGAAGAACCCAAGGTGTGTGTATGTATATCTATATAAATATATATGCATTGCTTGCCTGTGTAGTGTGACCTATGTGTAAGTAGAAGTGGCAAGATATACCTGTTATCCAGCATGTTTACAAGACAGAAAAGAGACACCAGCAATCCTACCATCATGTAAAACAGTTAAAAGTTTCTGTTTCACAGTCGCCTGGCAGGACGGTAGTACCTCCCTGGGTGGTTGCTGTCTACCAACCTACTACCTATACCAACCCCTGCAACATTAACACCCCTCCTGAAGGAGGGGTGTTAATGTCGCAGTTTTACAACTGTAGTGTAAAGCACCCCTCTGGCAAGACGGTGATGGAGTGAATGATGATGAAAGTTTTTCTTTTTCGGGCCACCCTGCCTTGGTGGGAATCAGCCGATGTGTTAATAATAATAATAATATACAGGTCTCCCTCAACATTCGCGAGGGTTAGGGGATCAAGAGCCTCGCGAATGTTGAAAAACCGTGAATGTTTTGTGCCCCAACATATTGTAGG